TTAAACACTGGCATTTGAATTTCTTGCTTTCTTTTACTGTCTTAAGACCTCCAATAATTTTTAGCTATAAAAATAACTCATAAAATTGTGACTTCTAAATAGACAAATCAATATAGACATTACATAAACTGTCAGTTTAAAGAAATAAAATGACTTTTAAAACATTCCTAGCTGTAGTAGGGAACTTGTTATCACCCAACAAATAAGGTATTTATTTTAGTAGCTTTTTTATCAATTCCAAAGCAGCACCAAAACAACTAAATAATTCCAGGAGGGGGAAGGGGGAATTCCCAGAGCCTGAGGCATTACTGGAATGCCTGCTATGAGCTTCAAGACACTCAGAAACTCCTCCAGGTTTTTCTTTTTCCCTGAATGTACTCCCGTATCAATGACTGCTGATAGAAAAAATGCAAACACAAGTTATCTACAAGGTAAAGAAAAGGGCTGGTGAAAGAACAGCCCACACTGAAAATACAGAGGACATTTCATTTAAAACTTAGCCAGGTTCCAAGATGGGATAGAGAGGAACTGCTTTTTTGGGGGGTGCAGGGTCAACATTCATACAATGCTGACCAAAAAGACACAACATATCCAACAAGAGGGGGGGAAAAAAACGAAAAATGAAAAACTGAGCAAACAAACCCCTGATTTTTTATGAATACCAAACATATTCTGCCTTTCTCATTTCCAAAATCAGCTTAAACAGTTTTTGTTATGACTATCTGTGAAGAGGTCTTAGGCATTTCTCCCATTCCTAAAATAGTTGATTGCAGAATCATCTGTTACAGGCTAAGCCTTCTCTGAGCCCTGTGGGAGCCCCCAGAGAGGCTGCTGGGCCTCCATCAGCTGCAGCACAGCTCAAAGCCTCCATCTCCAGTGCTTCCTAGAAAAAAACATCCCATCTTATCAAAGTACTGGCACACTGGATATTCAGACACTGGTGCTGGATTTCAGAGGGAAAAATGCTCATTTTCAAATTGAATGGCACTTCTCACATCAGCCTGACTGCTCAGCAGTCCTGCACTGTCATGTGGAATCAGCAGCAGGATTTTCACTGGAAAACAAATTGCACTGAATGAGGACCATGCCTGAGGCTTTTCTGGGAAGGGATATTGCTGCCTTTTTTTTTAATATATATTTTTAGGTTTATTGGTAACCACACTGGGCTTGTATAAAATACACTGGTCTGCTCTGTCAATTCTCATGGTCATGACTAAGACAACACTGATGTGGGATTCTCTGAAAGAAACATTACAAAAGTTAATAGTTTTGGGTTTTTTTAATAGGCTATTCCATGTTATATGAATATTTATTTAATTGATGCATTAATTCAATATATTATTCCATGTATACCATGTATATCAGGTGACATGTATACCATGTATATCTGTATTAATTAAGAGGAACAATATCAATTGGAAAGAGAGAAGAGACTCATGGAAGGGGATGTTGAGAACATGGCTGGAGTGGGTGAAACACCATGTCAGGGTGGGGGAAGCCATGTAAGGCACAAGGAGCAGAAGGAGAAAATAAGCAAGAAACCAGGAGCAGCAGAAAGAAGTCATCATGTGCAGGAGCTCCTGCACTGCCTCACCAAAGGAATTGGGGTGATCCCAGGCTAACCCAGGACAAAAATCAAGAGAAGTTTGTCCTGGAGGCAGAGGGGAGAGAGGTGTTTCCTCCAGGTGTCTGATGCAGGGCTATGGTTTGGAGTGTTCCTAGCCAGCACCCAAGTCAGCAGTCAGAATGTCATTTTACCTGGCAGTAAATGATGCGAAATCCTCCAAGTTGAGTCTGGTTTGCCTGCAACACCCCATGGCTCAAATAAACCACAAGCCACCACTTCCCTATAGCCCTGCAACAACAGTAGCTGGTAAAGGCCAAGTTTTCTCCAAATTAGCTAATAATGAGAGCTTTACTATTCTGGTTCCTGCATGCCCCTACTGTACAATTTATGTTTGCAGCAGAGTAGCTCATAGCTGCTACAGTTTAGCCAGTGCCACTGAACAAACTCCTCCTAGCTGCATTTTGTTTTGCACACTCTGCTGTTGAACATCTCAAGAGACAGTCCCCTTGGGCTCCCCACAGGTTATTTCAGAGCTTAGCTTTGCTGGAAACCTTCTTCCTACATCCAACTTCCCTCTAAAACTTCCCTTTATTCATTTCAAATAAGTCTCATTATTATAATGCTCTGCTACTTCTCACTGAATACACTTTCTTGTTCCCTAAATTCATTAAATATTAACTCAGCTATATTTTTTTTGTTTTAAATAGCAATATTAATAACCTATCCATACCACTTTCCTTTTAATATCCAAAGTTAACTAGAGCATTCACATTGATTTGCAGAACTGCAAAATAAAGTACTGCAGCAAACAAATTAAATTGTGTTCTGAAGGCAGCAGCTACTAAAAATTTAAGACAATACTGGGTAAAGATAGACCTAACTCCTGTAAACAGTAAATACTACATCACTTAGAATTGTGATGCCAGATACCTCAACTGAGGGTCTTAAACACAGGTTAAAATGACTTATTTTACTTGAAGGGAAATGTTTTATCTGTTTCAAATCATAATCCAATTCCTCCACTGGTAAATAAAAAGGCACTTTCCCTCTACCTCTCAGTCCTCTGAGTTAAACCTGAACCCACTTCTACTGGTATGGCAAGAAGGTTAAGTCTTCAGGTCCCTCAAGTTTACAAATTCCCAGTTTGATACACAAAGAAGGACACTGGGACACCACAAGAATTGCAGATTAAGACCAAAACCGCTCTTGAAATGTCTCCAGCCTTTACATTCTCCCATATTCTACCCAGTGGCAAGTCACACATGCAGCCTGAGTGCTTCATTCCCTCAAAATTATCTTTTCTGGCCTATCAGCAATCAGCTGAACTTTGAATGGCCCCTTCACAGAGCCAAGGAAAGCTGCAAACAGGACACAGACAAGGAAAAATAGAAAACCACTGATAGTAATCAAAGCCTATTGTACTTGAGAAAACAAGCCCTAATTTTGTATCAGGTCCCTCACACCCAGCACCCTCCTGACACAAAAGACACCTCTCTTAGTATTTCAAATGTCAATATAAACAAGATTACAAATCCCTGTAGACCTTAACAATGACACTAAGTTTGGTACTGCCTCAGATTTTGTTTTCAGTGTGCATCAGCCTGTCTGCTAACTTACACTGTAAACACCTGAGAGATTGTAGGGAATTGTGGCTCTCAGGGATAACAAACTTTTGAGGGTTTTGGTACATCCTGCTGCATTTCAAATCTCACAGAACAGGAGTTTCTTTCTGTCACAGCAGGCCCGGTATGACAGCACACATGACCCAGACCATAGTTAAAATCTACAGTGCAATATAAATTGTCATTTCAAGGAAGGACAGTTGATTTGTTTATCCTAATTATATCCCTTCTATTAGGAAAGATTTTGCTTCTCAGGAAAATAAAAACATCATTTGCAACACACTGAATTTCTCTTAAGCAATCATAAAGCAGCCCTGAGAGCACTCTCTGGTGAAATCTGCCCTGTAACAAGACATGGATAAGCCACAAATAGGCACAATTAGTGAAGGGATAATCTGCATACACTGTTAACCTGTACAGTCTTTATGTAATTTAAATCTTTCAGCTTTCAGCCCTTGAAGCTGACTATACAGAGAATTAATTCTGTGTTGGGGAGTAGGGATGTTCCTGGGCAAGGGGAACATGTGGGTAATGACTGAACAGCAGCAGCAAGTGGAGAGGACCTGAGGAACAACTTTCTACAGCTCACACATAAATATGGAAATATCACAATCCAGGTGACAGGAAAAGCTCAGGAGTCAGAGGTGAACCCTGCAGTGTCTTCCATTACCTCTGCCCCAGAAATAAAATAACTCTGACATCCTTTCTCCATTAGGAATGCTACAACTGCAGGCACGTGGTGCTGCAGCTGGGCTTTCCCCACACAAGGACCCCTTTGTGTGAAAAACATCTCCTGGAATGTCACACAGCAAATCAACTCACCCCAGTGAAGCACAGTCTGCAGGTAAAGATGACTTTTAACTGACAGCTTGTAAAAACAATAATATTGCAAAAAGGAAAAAGAGAAGGAAAAAAACTCCTCCAAAAAACAGAACATAAACATCCCCCTTCCCAATACCATGAATTACATAGGTGTTACTGAGTTTTCCACTTATCACTGATTTTTCTGGATTTGAACTGCATTTCATGTATTCAAACAAAAAAGCCAAACACCAAGAACCTCAGAGAGGCCTAACAGCACCAGAAGTAGCAGGTCAGCTGTGTTCAGTTTCTGCAAGCTGCATATTTACATCTGCCAACCACAAAAACCCTAAAACAATGTAATACTCTAATCTTCTATTTGCCAAAAAGGAACAGATTATGTTACAAAGGAGGCACCTGTAGGGGAACTGCATGTGGCCTCTGGCATTTTCTGATTTAAAGCTGATTCAATATTAGGTCCCAAATCAGCAGAGACTTCAGTAAGGTTAAAAAAATATATGAAGCCAAAATTTACTAAACTTTTATGGACTGAGATACACTTTTGCTCATATACAACCATTGAGTAAGCTTAATGTATTTAGATCTTTTTAAAATTAAACATTTTAACAAAATTTTTATAAATCCTTCCAAGAACTTCAAGTTTGTTTACACCCAACTAAGTTATTCACAACCAAAATTTATCTGCAATTCAGCTTGGAATATGTGTTTTGTAGACTACCAATTCTCATTCCCTAAAAAAATATTTTAAAACATTTCACTAAACATTTCACTCCCTCTGCAAGATCAAATTACAGAAATAAAAACCCAGATAGAAACTAAATTGAAAAGCACAGTGAAAGATTATCCAGCAGTAACACTTACACAGCAGTTTCCAAAATATCTATTAAAGGCATAAAAATACTTTAACCAAATAGACAATGCAATAAAGAGCCTGAATATTCATAGTAGCAAACTTTTAATCTTATTTTCTTTACAAGCTTGCTACTTACTGTAGAAAGCCAAATCTATCTGTGACTTTGTAAAGATGGTAGTCAGCATCTTCCCACGGTTCAATCTGAGCACCCTCACGTCCCTAAGGGGAAAGGAAAAAACAAAAAGCCAAATTATGTTTTATGACACAATAAATAAAGACACACAAGGGAGCATTCAACCACTGAAAGCATAAGCTTTGGGACACTTTGGGACATGGTGGCAGGAGGCTAGAGAAGGAGGAGGAGGAGGAGGACACCAGTCCTAACCACCCAAGAAGAAAGAGCAGAACACCTATCCCAGCCCTTACAAACAGTATTTTCATCACAGGAATTCTCTCTTGGTCACTGCTATACACAAAATACATTTCAAACAGAGTCACAGTAATCCCACACCTGCTGTTAAACTCCACAATAATGCATCAAGGTCCCCAGAGTGCCCTCTACTAGTTTCATTTCTCAAGCTCATCTTTCCTGAACAATCACCTGCAAGAGCACATCCTGCAGACAGTGCAAGCTGACTTGCAGCAGCTGTCAAACAATGCAGCACTGAGTTTCCCCTCAATTATGCATTCACCCATGTCCCATTCCTGCTCTCCAACTGCCAGTCTTGCAGAGGCTTGCAGAAGTTTAACCACATTTCAGCTCTGCCTGCTTCTGCTGTGGGCTATGCCCAGGTTACTGCTGTGAAATCAGGCCACCACCCAGAACACAAAGGGAATTGGGTTTGTGTGGCCTGGATTTAGTAGCAGGGGGATCCAGGGGTAGCTACTCCGAGAAGCTGCTCAAAGCCTCCTCCACATCCAACAGAGAAAGCCAGCTCCAATGGGGACTGCCACTGGCCATGGGCCAGGCCACACTGGAGCAGGTTTGGTGGCAGGACCTGTGACCCCACAGGGGACCCATGCTGGAGCTCCTGTGCCTGAAGGACTGACCCTGATGGAGGAACCAATGCTGGAGCAGCTCATGAAGAGCTGCAGCCCATGGGAAGGACCCACTCTGAAGAGTTCATGGAGAACTTCAGCCTATGGGAGGGACTCCCCACCGGGAAAAGGGAAGAGTTGAAGGAGTCAAACCCTCAAGCAGGAAGGATGTCACAGACATGCTTTATGAAAAATCCTTTCCTTAGGATTTTTTCTCCTGAGAAGCTGAGAGGCCTCAGGAACAAAATGTAAACATTGATTATCTGCTGCTGTGGAATGCAACAGGTGCATCTGTGATTGGTCTCTTGTGCTTGTTTCTAATTAATGGCCAATCACAGCCCAGCTGTCCGGACTGTCTCAGTCAGTCACAAACCTTTGTTATCATTCCTATTCTATTCTTAGCCAGCCTTCTGATGGAATCCTTTCTTCTATTCTTTTAGTATAGTTTTTATGTAATATATATCATAAAATCATAAATGAAGCCTTCTGAAACATGGAGTCAGATCCTCGTCCCTTCCCTCATCCTAAGACCCCTGTGAACACAGTCACAGAAAGAGTCACAGAAACCATGTGGGATGAACTGACCACAGCCCCCATTCCCCATCCTCCTGCACTGCTCAGGTGGAGGAGGTAGAGAAAACTGGGAGCAAAGCTAAGCCCAGGAAGAAGGGAGGGTTCGGGAGAAAACGTTTTTGATCCAGTGTTTATTTTCTTATTGTCCTACTCTGATTTGATTGGTAATAAATTAAACTGATTTCCTCAACTCAGGTCTGCTTTGCCCATGACAGTCACTGGTGAAGGATCTCTCCCTGCCTTTATCCCAACTCAGGAGCCTTTTGTTACATTTTCTGTCCCCTGCCCAGCTGAGGTGGCAGTGCCTGAGCAGCTTTGAGCAGCAGCTGGTGTCAGCCTGCCCCACACAAGCAGGTTTATCCTCAGTCCAGGGTGAGCCACTCATTTACTGGTGGTTTGCACAGTGTGCAGTAATTCTGGGACATGAAACATTCCATGAACTCCACAAACAAGGCTATTGCTCTGTACTCCAGTGACACTTAAAAAGTCCATAAGTGGTACAAAAATACCTGACCACTGTGTAAGCATCCTAGGCACAGTCTGTGCCAGGCTTTTCCTGACAAGGGGTCCAAGAACAAACATGGTATGACCAGGGATTTCTTTAGATCCCCACAAGATGAGAAACAATCCAGCTCACTCATCTTTTACTTTTTCTGCTATGATTTCAGTGTTTGTACTACCTTAATAAAAGATTAAATAAATTAAAAGTAAAATGAGAGTCCTTCTGATGTCACATATCTGTGAGATATGTGAGCATCCTCAAACACCCCACCTTCAGTACTTCTAATACAATATACTCCCTGAAATAGTCCCAAAGTAACTTGCTATGCACCTGAAAAATGACTTGATTGAGTCATTATCCAGAATATCCCCCATGGAGAGAGAGTTTAATTCACCCAGAGGCCAGTGTACCATTAAACACCAGATTAGTACCCAACAGAGTATTTTAAACAACAGCTAGCTGGAATCATGATTCACTTTTTAAACAGACATATTATGAAGATTCATTATAAAATGTCTTTTAAATGACTAAAAAGTTCACTTACTCTGTCATACTTGGCAACTATCTCCGCTCGTTCCTGGGCAAGTTTGACAGCAGCATCCTGCTCAGCATCTGCACCTGCAGAGGAATTAAAACCAGGTTATTCAGATTTTCTCCCTTGTGAAAAAACAACTGCAGCCAAATACTTGGAAAATCAACTTCAGGGAGACTACTTCAACAGAGGAATGCCAAAACTGTTGTGTCAAAGGAAAATATGACCTTGGTACATGTCCTGAATATTGCTCAAAGCAAAGTACAGTTACTGCACAGTATGTTAATTGCTAAGTTTAGAATATTTCTGATTTTCCACCAATGTAGATATTAAATACAGTAATGAAATAATTCTGCACAACCCACTAACTGAAAGGCTGAAGAAAGTACTAAAGGCCACTAATTGGCAATTCCACAAACATTCTAATAGCAAAGAAAGCTGAAACATTCACTACTGGCTTAAAACAAAATTGTGAAGTAATTACAGGATTTGTAGAGATTTTGGAATACTGAAGAAGTACTGCATGGTTTCTTGGAAATAGCCTACTTATTTCTCAGAAAACAGGGAAGGATGTCATTACAGTGTCAGAACTGCAACTTGGGCAACCCAGAGCTGGAATAAGTGTAAGGATATGACAACAGGAATGTTGACAGGCAAAAACAAAAAAAACAGTGTGTGAGTAAGCACTGGACATGAGGACACTGCAGATGCAGCATTTACTACATGAGAGGAGCTCAAGTTTTGCTCAATCCTGTTCCTTGAGGAGAAATCATCTCCAGGACATGGACAGGAACAGAGAGAACCAAGAAAGGAAAAGTTGTTATTCTGAATATCCAACAATAGAACGTACTTCAATACCCCAAATATATCAAACCCATGAGGTAAATCCGCTTTAATTAAGTATGTGAAATATTTAAGCATTGAATTCTTTTGATTATTAAAAAGCAATGAACTTCAGATAAAGCAAGGTTTGAAAAAGGTTTAAAATATATTTCAATCTAACACTGTTACAAAAATAACTCCAAGCATGTGGGGTTTTGTCCCTATCTAGTTCATGGCAACATAATGAACTTCAGGAATTGTACATACCAACCATCTGGGCCATGAAATAGAAAAACAGATCAGATATTACAGTTTTCTATCTTATGACATTAACACAATTATTTGTTCAAACCTGTGTTCCTTTAGTAAAGGTTACCTACATATTTCTCAACATGAAGTTGTGCCAAGGAGGCCTTTTAAGCCATCTGTTAGAGATTTAACACGGCCTCTGCTTGTTTTCACTCCCCCTTTCTCCAGGGGAACACTCAGAGAACCTCAGTATGACCCACACAGACACAAGCACCAGCATTTGGACAACAGCACTGCCTGTCCAAGCTCCCCTAAGGGAAGGTCTGGCTGCTTCTTCAAAGCTTTCATTTATGACCCCCAGAAGTCACACTTGGTTACCCTCACCTGGCCCCATCATTCTTTTTGTCACCATCATTGGCCAATCACATTACTCCTGTTTATTAAGAATACATAGAGGTCTGTCATTTTCTCCAGTGCAGCAGAACCAGCACACATGTATTTACAGTTATTTGAGGGAGGAAAAAAAAAAAATATTGAATCTGCTATATTTGGAAGCTTCACATCTCTAAGCTACAACACTGACCAATCATTTCCTCCCTGTAGGATAAGGGGTGAGTAGAACCATTTCATATTGCTCAGACCTCACTGCTCCTCCTGTGCTTTGGTGCTGGATCCTTTATTCCCAAGCTGAAAAGGGACTCAAGACACAAAGCAGTTGGGTCTCAGGTTTGCTTTTCTCTGACACAGCTTTACAGCCACTGCAGGGCCCTGTTACCCTGGCTGTCCATGTGAGCTCTGAGCAGGACACAGCTCCCAGAGCCCTCCCCAGCCCTGTCACACCCAGGGGCACAGACACAACCCCACAGCACTGCCAGGGCATTCCAGCACTCCCCCAGCACAGTTACAACAATCTGGTTCCTAATCTTTACTAGTGGACACAGTGTGTCTGCTGAACTGCTGATGTCCACTAAAGCTACCAAATCAACGCTGACACAAAGCAGTGGGTGAAGCCTGGTTTTACTTTCAGAGTGAGAAGATAAAGGAATTGTAACCAAAATTAAATTGTGTTTCCTTCTGTAAAACAGATCTGTGCTTACAGCAAATCTTCACAGAAGACTAATTGTGAGTTTTTAAAAAATAAACTTTTAACTTCCTCAGAAACCTGACATTCCTTCAGCAACTTCAAGTACTGACTGACCCAAATCTCCATTTCTCCAATGGACAGCTGTGGGGAAAAGTTCCCTTGTTTAAACTTTAAAGCTCACCTGCTGCTGAGCTTCAAGATATAGATTAAAAGTCCTATCATTAATTTCCAAGCAGAAGAGATTAGATTTAATTTGAGAAAGAGTGAAAGAGTGTGGCTGAATATAAGCAGACAATACTGTAACACACAGGAGTCAATACATTGACATAGAATGTAGCTGATACATTTTTAAACAGAACTAAAAATGGTTTCTATTTTTATTTTAAAATGTGCTTAAAAGGACACACATAGATCTTCAAAAACATAGACAGAATAACAGTGTAAGCTGAAAAAAGTCTAAACCTTGGCTTAAAAGAATGCCAAACTGTATTTGCACCAGAAAGCAAGTTCCTGATTTATGCTGAAAACGTGGCCATGGCTTACCATGCCTTCCTCTGCATAAGCAATGTGTGAATCAAAGTTTGGCATGTTCTGTGTCTCATGACAATTCAATTACATTTAGTGTGTAAATTATCATATTCATTCCCTTTAAAGTAATCCTCTTTGCTTTCTGCCAGAATCATCTTAACCTTCCAGCTGCACTGAGATAGTTCAGTGTTTCATTAATCCATCCATACTGAAAACCCAGAAAACAGCTTGAGATGGGGGCAAGAGCTTTTATTTTGGGAGATAAGCATTAAAGATAATTTTTCTTAAAGGAGGAAATATTTAAATACCTCCAACTTAGAAATTTTAAATTGATTCCTGATAAAAGTAAAAGCTAAATATGGGAACAAGAAAAATTCTTTGGCGCAAAAATGCATCTCTATGAAACTGAAGACAAATAATTTGTATTTTAAAGTCTTATGAGTTTTGTTCAGTGCTATCTCATTCAAAGCAGTTAAAGATATGATACAAGTATGATTAAATTTACTAATTAAAAGTTAGCATTACAGATTATACAGAAAATAATGCCATCACAAATGAGGTCAACATTAATATATAGTCAATTAATTAGTACAGAGAACTGATTTGAACTAAAAAATGGGAAATATATTAGCAATGACCTGATGATAAATTCTGTCAACAGTGGCATGCTAAACAGCACTTTTAAGTCCCCCCAAAATCAGACAGGCTTACAAGGTACAAGCAGCTAAAATCCTGCCCAGCACCAATCACAGAATGACAGGTACAAGGGACCTCAAGGCCCATCTGGTCCAAGCTCTCTTGGCCAAAGCACAGCCTAGACAAGACTGTCCAGCACCCAGTTCAGCTGAATCTTAGAGGTGTCCAGTCTTGGGGAACCTACCACTGCCCTGGAGAGATTATTCCAATGGCTGTTCTCATTGTGAAAATTTCCAAGTGTTCTGAATCTCCTCAGGAGCAACAGACATAATGCAAACTAAAAATATATAACATTATGCTCTATTAATGAATGCTAAACTACCTGGAAGACACTAACTGCCATAAGTGGCATTTAACAGCAAAACAACAAATCCAAGTAAAAATAAACATTAGTAAAGAAAAAATAAGGTTGTAGCCTACAAATAGGTGTAAAAATTAAATGCTGAATTTTACTGAAACTTCTCAAGGATAGAGATTTTTGCAAGAAACAGAGATATGGTTTCATGATCTGATGAAACTAAAAAAATCCTGCTTTACTCTTGCTTTCATGGCATCTTCTCTCTTCTGTTCCACAAGGATGAAGAGTAGCTGTGGATGGAGTCCCTACAGACACCAAAGAATCTTGACCAAGGAGCCCCCATAAACCACTTAAACATGTATTTTAAGGTGGGGGTACAACAATTACATTGTTGTAATTTTGCATTCATGTAAATCACTGAGCTAAAAACACTGAGGATCCCTCTTGGACTCCCTGCAGTAAGTCATTTTTCCAGAATAAAGGAGGGGGAACTGTCAGGACTAGCTCTTATGTTTCCAGCAGTCAAGAAGGAGCTGAACAGCCTGTGACAGCCTGGCAGCAGCTCCTGGTTGGGGTGGCCAACACAGAGCCCATAGTTACACCTGGCTTTCACCACAGCCTGGGAGAACTCAGCTGCTGTGAGGGAGGAATGGCCAGAAGACAGTAAAACACTGGTCTTTCCCACAAAAAGAGAAGTTCCTGGTCTACAAGGTTTACTAAGCACCTGTATTTTGAATTGTCTAATCCTGCATGGCTTCTAATCCTGTTCAGAAGTGCAAACTAGTAAGGCACAGCCTTTTTTAAAGTGATCTCCATGTGCAATCCTCACATCTCTAGTCCCTACAAAGGTAGGCACATAATTCATAGGAATGGTCTTTGGGGTAACTCTAACTCACTAGAGCTGTTCTCTCTGAAACAGCCTAAAAAATGACTGGGCAGTACCTCTGTACCTCACCTGCCAAAGGTAACAACCATGGAGGAGCTCCCTCATGAAGGCAGTATGAAATGAGTACCACCAAGGGCCTCAGTGAGCTCCTTACACTGAAGGAGCAGTAGGTACAAGGTACATTGCAATGCTCATGCATCAGCAGCAGTATAATAAACTGCCTCTTACAGATGGGACATAAATTTAAGAAGAATCACAATTTGTTTAGGTTGGAAAAGACTTTTAAGATCATTGAGTCCAACTATTAACCCATCACTGCCAAGCCCACCATTAAACCATGCCCCCAAGCACCAAGTGCTTTTAAATATCTCAAGGGATGGTGACTCCACCACTTCCCCTAGGCAGCCTTTTTCCAGAGCTTGAGAACCCTTTTGGGAACAAAATTGTTCCTAATATCCAGTCTAAACCACCTCAATGCATCTTGAACTTGTTTCATCTCATTCTGTCATTTGTTACTGCAAGA